CCGTGCCTGGCCTTGGCCCACAGACCCAGCCAGTGCTCGCTCCTCACCCACCGGGCCGCTGCCTCTTCTCATCAGCGCGGTGGGAGCCGGCAGTGCCGGCCCCGCCGCCAAAGCCCTCGGCCTGGGCCGCAGTCCTCCAACTGCGTGTGGCGAGGGAGGGAAAGGGGATTCTGGGCCACCCAGATTCAGACCCCCCCCAGGCCTGCACCCAGTTCCATTCCCGCACCCATTTCCTGTGAATTGCTCAGCACGACTGAGGAGGGGATTGGCTGCAGCTCAGCCGCTCAGAGGCTTTTCTCCAGGGTGCAGATTTGAGCCTTCAAGCCTTTTTTTCCCTCCTCCCTGGAGTTTTCATAGTTTTGCTGCATCAGAAAGTGCAGTCTTCTCTGCTGAAAGAAACACCCAGCCCATGCCCGCACCCACACGGGTGCTGGACCACGCCAGGCGCGACCCTGGCTCAGCAGCAGCAGCAGGTGACTGGGCAGTTGCGTGGCTGCTCCCCTGCGTGCGGGGTTCCTTCCAAGGCCTCAGTTCTGGCTTCCAGGGAGCCTTCTCGTCCCTGGAGTTCCCTTCGCTTCGTCGCATCATGAAGCTCGGCCCCCGCCTCGGCTCGCAAAGCTGAAACAGACACCCAGCCAACGGCCCCAAAGCTGCTGGACCGTTGCAGGGTCTCCCCAACCTCCCTTCAGGCCTTCTCCGCGGTGTCAGGCGCACTGCTGACATCAGCCACTCCCCAGGGGGAGCCCACGATGCCAGGAGGCGCGTCACCCAGCGCCGTCTCCCAGTAGGAGGTCAGCCCTCGGGACCGTCCTCCTGGACTTCATCTTCCATCTTCCTACCCAGAATCCCTCCTTTTTGCGACGCCACTTGTGTTACAGCCTCTTTGGCTGGGCAGGTCCGCTCGGGCCTCGGGTAGACGGAAGGAGATGCGTGGAGCCTTGGGGATGCGTGACATGCCTTTATTCGGGAGAGTCACACGGGCACAAGCCCGGGTCCGGGGAAATCACACAAGCCACAAAGCCCCTGTCCAAGTCGGCGCCCGACTCCCCGCCCAGTCCAAAGCTCCTATCTCTCAAATACTAGCCCCAAACAATGCAGGCTGCAGGCCAGAAGGTGAAGTAACTATCCTGAGCTGCGCCTGTGAGCCTATTCAAGGCTACGGGGCAGTTTATTGCACCTGAGCTCAAGACCCGCGGTGCCACCTGGGCTCAAGGCCGCGGGAACACTGCTTCATCAGGCTCCTCCAAGGGTGTGAGGAGCTGCTCCCTCCAGTTACCCAGGCATCTGGGTGAGGGAGCCCGACCGCCCCCACGTACCCTACAGTTTTGTTCCCCAAAATCTTCTGGAATATAAAAACAAGATAGATTGGAATGAAGAGCTTTGATGTAATTAAATTTGGAAATAATCCCAAATGCCTTTTTGGACTTAGAGTGTGCATGTCTTCGAAAACAATTCAGGAGGCTGCACCTCTGCCTCACGGTGCTGGAATTGAGTTTGTGCACTTTGCAGAAGCACTCTGTTCCTAAGTGGAAGCCTGGAGCTGGGAGCAGATTCGATCGTGTGCGGGAAAGCGCTCCGTTAATTGGTCCACGGACGTATGTCGTTAGTATCAGTCGTTTCTACCAAGCTTCCTGGGGACGACGAGCTGCCGACCCCCAGAAAACACTTGGGAGAGCAAGGTTCTGAGCCTTCAGAAAACCTGCCGACCAGACAAGGGATAGGAAGGGAGCGGGATAAAGCCGAGGACGACGCATGTTCTGCGGAGTGCAGCGCCCCGTAGCCCTCTCGCAGCCAATGTGAAAACAGAGAGGCAGAGGCTTCATGCCCTGTGCGCCTTTGTTTTCAATGTAAACACTTTATTTTTCTGTTCCATTCAATTGATTGTAAGAAACATTCACTGAACAACTGCTGGGATGGTTGGGTTCATATTACCTAACTTTTGTGCTTTGCACCCCAGTCATGCACATACCCATCCGCGCACTTCCCTGGCAGCGCCTGGCCCGCTGGGTGAGAGAACGGGGCGGGGGCGGGGGGGGGGCAGGTAGGGGGCGTGAGAAAGCCAGCGCTCTAGCATGCGTTTTAGGATGTTTTGGATCACAATCTGCCTGAAAAACTGTATTCCCCCTACAATATTTTAAATTGGCATCTAAAAATTTGTATTAGGAATTTAAATAGCAGAGGAATTTGTTACAGCACGTTGGAAATATCTGTATTTTAAAATAAGGCAATTTTATCACTCTTCATTCGTATAAGTACCACAGTGATTCGAATATATCATCTCCCATGTAGAACATCAATGAACAAGCTGCTGCCCTGGCTGGTGGGGCTCAGTGGACTGAGCGCCGGCCTGTGAACCAAAAGGTTGTCAGTTCGATTCCCATCAGGGCACAGGCCTGGGTTGCGGGCCAGGTACCCCGTTGGGGGCGTGCAAGAGGCAACCAAGCAATGTTTCTCTTGCACGTCGAAGTATCTCTCCCTCTCTGCCTCCTTCCCTGCTCCTCTCTCTAAAAATACATACATACATACAAGCTTCTCTCTCACAGAGAAGTTCCATATTGCTAATTTTCCCCTTCCGACTTCCGTTTCTCTCCCACTCCTCCCGGAGACTGTTACCCCTAAGGCGGCCGTCTTGTATGTTGAAAGTCTTTTACTGGCAATCTCGTCATGCTTCTCTCTGGATTGCCTTACGAGTGTGCAATGTGCATTTGTTAGAACAGCACAACCTTCCTGTGTCTGATGAGCCGCCATTGCCTGACTGTTGGTTGGCGGGAACCCTGGGCCTGCAGGCAGAGGAGGCCCAGAGCGAAAGCCCTGGGGCGGGGGGGGGGGGGGGGGCGGTCTCCACCCAGGAGCCCGCTGCGGAGCCCAGGGCCTCCCAGGCTGGCGCGGGAGAGGCGTCTGGCCTCGGGCCCGCCAGGTGGCGCTGGGGCGTGGGGAGAGGACAGGGAGCACTGACCTGGATTGAGTCACTACAGGGACTTCTTCGCAGCAGCGGCTGGCTCCTGAGAGGAAAGGAGCCCGTGGAGCTCATGAGGCTGAGAGCCGCCGGAGCCTCCCGCCCTCCTTTGGACCTGGCTCCTGGCTGGGCTGCCCAGTGGGGTAGGGACAGAGCCCCTGAAGCCGCTCTGCAGACAGAAGGGCTGTTTCTTGCTGCCTAGAAAATAAAATGTATCTCTTAATGAGACAGGCAGGGAGACTGTGTTCCCAGCCTGGATCAAAGGGATCAATTGCTTCAAGGGCTGTTCCTTAGTGTAGCAAGGGTCGGGATTAAGATTAGGAGCAAGTAAGAGAGATGTCTTTCTCGTTAACATGAAAAAATTTGCAAAGAGGAGTACGTAAGCGGTCCCTTAACACAGGACTAAGTGGAAGAAGCCGGTGTGACTCGGCTGCATACTGCCTGGCTCCAACTACATGGCCTCCTGGAAAGGGCGAACTTGCGGAGACCGTGAGACGCCCGGGGCAGAGGGCTTTCAGGAGAGGGAACCTACTCTGCACGGTCCTGTAGGGGTGGCCGCATAGCATCATCCGTTTGCCCAAACCCAGGGAGCGCACCAAGAGTGAGCCCTCCCGGAGAGCCCGGGCTTCGGCGGATGATGACGCGTCAACGCAGGCTCCTCCGTTGTGACCAATGTAGCACCCTGGGGGGACGTTGATGGGGGGAGGCCTGGGTGGGCGGGGCAGCGGGCCTTCAGGAGCTCCGTACGTTCTGCTCAATTTTGCTGTGTATTTAAAACCGCTCTTAAATATAAAGTCGGGAGAGAGAGAGAGAGAGAGAGAGAGAGAGAGAGAGAGAGAGGCCCCCTTGATGATTTTAGGAAAAAGTACCTGAGAGATGAAGATCTGGCTGTGACCGCAGCACTAACCAGGCCAGGTGCCCTCGGGGAGTCTCCATCTACCCGCAGGGGTGCCGGCATCGGGGTCTGAGGACCTCCGGCCCCAGGTTATAGGAGGGTGAAGAGAAGAGCGAAATGCAGTGGGAAAGAAGAGTTATGCGCTGAATAAATGGTTTTGGGGAAACAGGGTAGTTGTATGGGAAAAACAAGGGCGGTTCTACCTTACACCATCAAACACTGAATTCTGTGTGTATAAAGACGCACACCCTGGAGAGCTGCAAACCCGGCGGCAGAGGCAGGGCCTGAGAAGCGGTCCCCGCCATCCGCGGGGTCGCGGTCAGCCACTGCGTTTTGGGGTGATGTTACACAGCAGGGGGTGAACCGATTTCCTCCCAAGCTGCCCCTATGGGCTGTGGGGGGCTTCGGAGGGGAGGCAGGGACTAGAGGAGCACTTGAAGGAAGTTGTTTGTTGTTGCGTTTTGGTTTTGCTTTTTTCCAAAGAACTGAGTTTCCTATCGCCGCTGGAAAGCTTGGCGCCCTCCAACTTCCTTACCGCGCTTTGCTGGTGCGCGTTTCCGAACGGCCTGCCGCTGTCCGCCGGAAAGCGCGCCCCGCGCCCGGCGCCTCTCAGCCGGCGGGCAGGGCGGCAGCGGCTGGAGTTCACCGGCGCCACAGCCTGTTCAGCCCACCCTCGCTGTCCCCTTTAATTCCTTTCGGTCTCTGGCCACCGCGCCACCTGCCCTTTGGGAAAGGCAGGACCGGGGGAACGAATGAAAGAAATTATCAGCAACGGCGAGAGGAGGCCAGAGAGACCCCTGGGCGTTGGGGGTGGGTCTGAAGATCATTTGCAGCACAGCAGCCCGGGCCCCTGGGGGCTGAGCTGGGGCCTCTCCCTGCCGTCCCGGCAGCAAGTCAGCTCCTAGGACAGTCTGCCCGGGTCCGGGAGCTCAGGAGAGACCTCGGCGATATGGACGGGAGGCTCTCCTGCCTGCTGCGGGAGAGTCGAGGGGCAGGCAGGGCTCGCACCAGCTCCTGGGCTCTTTCCCCAGCCCGGGAGGCCGAGCGCGGACCGGAGGAGCCCGGAGGTGGGGGCGCAGGCGGCGCGCCTCCCCGCCCGCGGCACCCGGCGGCGCGCGCAGGCCGGCCGCTGAACGCGGCGCCTCCGGCATGGAGTGGGAGCTCAACTTCCTGCTCTACCTGGCGCTCTTCTTCTTCCTGCTCTTCCTACTCTTCCTCCTGCTCTACGTGCTCATCAAGCAGCTGAAGAACTCCGTGGCCAGCTCGGCCGGGGCGCTCCAGCCGGGGCGCCTCTCGCTGCGCCGGGAGCCTTGGAGCTTCTCCCACGAGCAGGCGGTGTGACCCGCAGGGCGCGGGACGGGCGGGAGGGCGCCGAGCGGAGCGGCTCGGCTGGATCTCGGTCTCGATTTTCTGTGGGCACGGCCGCCGCGGTCCGGGCCGGGGAGCCGGCTGCGTGGGCAGGTGGGTTCCGGCGCGGGAGGGTCGGCGAAGGGGCGAGCTGCTCCGCTCCGCGCCCCCGGCCGCTCAGGCTCCGTGGCGCCCTGGTGCTGGGGACAGCAGGTGCGCGGGTCTGGGCTGGTGCTGTGGCCTTAGGGAAGAGCCCGGGCTTCCCCTTCTCTGGGGCGGGGAGAGATGCAGAAGAGAGGACATCAGCCTCTGGAGACGGAATGGCTTTGGGCACCTGCCCGCCCTCCTTCCAGGTCCAACTGCATTTTAGCTTGTACCCAAGGGGTGTGGAAAACCAAACTATTTAGGTAATTCATTCCAGCCCCTTCCCAACAAAATGGGATGTCAACCCGAACATCCACATTGTGGAGAAAGAATGGGGGTTCGGGGAGCAGGAGGAAGCAGGGCGCACTCCATGTACTGCAAATGCTGCTTCACCATCGGCGCTTTGGTGGGCGCTAAATGCCGTGCGACCCGGGTGCCAGGGAGGGAAGAGCAGGTGGCCCGATACTTATGGGGAGTCCTGTTCTCCCCTGAACCGCCGCTCCTGTGCTAGCCACCCACCCGGTAGGCGTCCGCAGTTGCGGCGCGGGAACCGCGGGCCGGCGCGGTAGGGAACCCTTCGGGGCTGAAACGGGCGCTGGCGAAAGAGGCGCCGTTCGCGTGTTGTGGGGCCGCGGGACAAACGGCGGGAGGGGCGAGGCTCTTTCCAGGGAAGGAGACTGGGCATCTGCGGGGGGTGGGCGGGAAGGAGCGGCCTTCTCACCGGTCCAGACAATGTTCACTTTGGAGACACCCCCTTCATCTTACAGGTGCTGCTTCCCTCGTGCGGTCTGGAGCCCCGAGGGCGCCCAGGACCGAGCCTCGGTTACAGCTGGGCCCCGGGGCCTGCTCGAGGGCAGGGAACCCGAGGAGGCGGCTTTCTGACCGTGGTGAGCGAGCCGCCCTGGGTTTTACCAGCTGTGGCTACACTTATGAACACCCCGCGTCTAAATAAGCGAGAGTTCGGAGGGAGGAGACGTGTGCGATGAGATAGAGGTCCAACCGGCACTGAGAACCGGGGAGCTTCGCCAGGACCCAGGGCCGGAACCGGTGCGCAGGCGCCAGCAGCGCCCGGAGGGTGGGGTGTGGGGGTGTGTGCAGCTGTTCCGCGGCTGCAGCCATCAGTCCCTCTTTTGGAAAACAGCGTGGGGGGTCTTGAACTTGACCTGGGTCATAATACAGGTGTGTCTTTCACAGGGAAGACTGGGGTCTGGTCATGGCAGGCTGGAACCAGCCGGCCGTGGCTTGTCCGTAATGTTGAAAATATGGATTCATTTTTTGGCACAAAGAAGGACTATACTGAGAGGCTGAAAACAATAGAAGACTGAATTTTGCCTGAGTCGTTAACAGAGAAGCGAAGGGGAAGACAGTTATTTTGATAATTCAAGTGAAGGAAAAAGTCATCTCACTGAGGTGAGTCATTACGGGGCGAGTTTTTGCCTGCGACAGTCAGACAATTCCCTACATTTTCTGTTTCGCTCTGCTGGAATAGACCGTTGTTCCTGAAGTCCGTGGTTTATTTTCAATGTGATGTCACGAGCGACGTCTTCCCTTCGTATGTGTGCACACCTGTCCTCCCTAGAGCTCTGGTCAGACGTGGTTGGAACCCCGACTTGGAACCCCAGGGTCCGCTGCGGTGATTCCATACGGTGCTCTGGACGGTACTCCTCTACCTGGTCGCCACCTCCGCAGTGGTTTAGGTATAGGCTGCGTGGTTACGATGCGTGTGGGGGGACTTCATTAGGAGTCACAGTCGTTTACAAGGAGGGAAGCCAGGCACTCTGTACTTCATAAATGACCGGGATGCAAACCCGTTTAACCTCCTGCCGGGCTCCCTCACTTTGCGACCCCCCATGCTTCGAGCTGCTGGTTCGGGGTGTAGCCCCCCGCCCCTTCTCCATCGCAGGCTCGGGGAGTCCCGGGCGAGCGGTCTGCTGCCCTCCGGGCACGAAGCCGTCTCTCTGTGGCTCTGGCTCAGTTTCCTGGGCGGGTGGGGCTGCCTCCCTCGCCTGTGCCCAGGGCCCTTCCGCAACCTTCTTGTCATCCAGCTCACCAATGACTTAGTCCGCACTTAGCCAGGCCCCACCTGGAGCGCGGCCCTGCCTCTGGGGAGCCGGGCTCCCCACATTGGCTCTCAGAGCCCGGTGCCCTGGTCTCCCGCCCTTTGCTCTGTGAGACCCCGCTTTTGCAAGTCGGACGCCTGTCTGTCCGCTGCCTTGTTCTAGTCATTTATCCAGTCATCATTTTTCCAAAACCCCACATGTCCTGATCCCCCACGGTTTTGAACTCACACTTTTGCTACCGCTACACATTCTGGACCAGAAGCCCAGACGCCCACAGGGGTCCGGGTTCCGGCGGCACACACCCGGTGGCCACCCCACCCCCTGACCACGCCCTGGCCCCGAGTCGCCCGACCGCACCGTCTCGAGGTCGGCGTGCACGCGGGCTTGGCATCAAAGCTCCCGGAAAGTCGGGGACTTTTAAAGTAACCACTCATTTTATACAGGCAGCCCGATTATGGAAGATTCCTCTGTTTTATGTCTAATAAAAGGTTTTGAGCGACTCTTCCTCAATGTTCGAAGCTGGGTTGAATTTCTTACATTGTAAGGAAATGGGCCATAATTCAATTATTATGTAATATCAGTATTTTCCTTCCAGTGCTCTTACTTCATTACCGTTTCTAAATTTCGGCAGTTTAAATGACCCCAAATCTTACTAGGGTAATTTCGACTGTTTCACTGAGAACCAAATTTGTGAGCACAATGAATGCGCACTTGACCTTGAACAGTAACCCTCTGCGGCTGAGTGTGAATGGCATCACGCGGACACCTGTGGGATCCGAACTGTGAGGCAGGGCGGTTCCAGGGCCGAACTCCAGCTGTAGGGCCCGGCTGCAGGCACAGCACAGTGCCAGCCGGTTCGGTTCCCCAGAACCAGCAGGAAGACCCGTGCGGAGTGCACCGTGCCCTGCGTGTTCTGGGCGCGACGCCAGCATGTGCCTTTGGTTCGCTCCCAGGGGTGGAAGCAGGAAAGTAGGTGAGTGAAAAATACGCAGTTTCCCATTTTTAGCCTCACATTTCATGTTTCCAGTTTTGTCTGCAGCTTCAAAATAAATGGAATAGTTAAATTTTTTGAGTGGCCCAAATTTTAAACACGGTGCTGTTTAAACCGTTAAGGATGGCGGGAAATACTTGCTTTTCCTCACGCAGACCCGCTCACCTGGGGACTTGCAGAATGCTAGGGCCGCTTCTGCGGTGCACGGAGGGCGTCTGCGGAGCGCGGGGCCTTGGCGCTGGTCTCCACCGCCGCTCTCGGGAACTCGTGCCCGCGTAGGCTGAGTCCATAACTGAAACCCGGGGATCCTTCGGAAATCGCCGCCAGGCCTTTGTGCCGCACACAGGCGGGAGGGTTGAGGGGTGGGTCTTCGGCGCTGATTTATTTGTTTGTTTGTTTACATCAGTGAAATAAATTCTCAACTCTCCATTCCTTGCATTGCTTACACAAAATAAATGAAGTTAGACATTAAATGAGGCTCTTATTAACTATCTGAGTCATGAGCATCTCACCAGATAGGAACTGGGGTGAACTGAGGCAGATCTGTGTTGAAGACAGGAATCAGAGCCTACTAGGCACTCAGAAAACTTGCTGATGGACTCGGCCAAAATCCTTTTTTTCCTCAATTGCAACCTTTTATATAATAAGCCAAATCGTTTCCTCCCCTCTTGGCCTGTGTGGATGTGAATGGGTTCAAGTTAAAACTTTTGTGCTCACTTTCGCTTTATTTGTTTGACCCTGCAGTTGCTTGAACTTACTGAACTATGCATGGACCCCCTCAGGCAAGGTGCTGTTCACTTTGAGATGGGAACCTCGCTCTGCTCTCGGGAACCAAGGCAGACGGCTCTCTGGAAGCTTCCGCATCGCACAGTGGCTTAGACAGAGGGCCGTCGTTTTGCCTCCTGCAACGAGGACGCAGGGCACCGGCTATTGCTGCTGTTGCTTTGGTGGCTCCCAGACGTCAGGCAGGGTCACGGTGGCCCCTGAGGTTCCTGGCTTTTCTCCTCGGCCCCCTAAAGAGGCAGAGGAAACGCCAAGGGCCTGCCAGGTCCATGCGCCCCCTTGCAGAGAGCGTGCTCGCCGCCCCAGCTTTTCCTGAGTCTCCTGGGCCAGACCGCGCCCTGGGCCACTGCAGAGGCGCCTGAGAAGCGCAGCCGCCTTCCGCAGAAACCCCAGCCCTCTCCGCAAGGCGGAGGGCGACGGCGCGTCTCGCGAGCAGCTGGCAGTCTGTGCCCCGGCTGTGAAATGCAGTTAGCCGTCAAGGAGCAGGGTGCTGGACAGCTGGCGGGGGCACGCCAAGCCCCCGGCTCTGCTCAGAGTGCGCAGGGAAGCCCGTTCGGCTGGCCTCCTCCGCAACACTCGCCGGGACCTCCTGATCTCGTCTCTCAGCCCGTGGCCCGCCCCGAGGAGCCCCTGTTCGCTGCCGTGGACGTGGGCTCCACGCGGAGGCTGGGGCAGCGCAGTTCCCACGGGGCTGCCCCTTGTCGCCTCGTTTATCTCTTCTCCAATCTTCCCCACAGGTGTTGGGAGGAGCCTGGCCGGTGTATTTGATCCCCACCTGGGGAGCATCCCTGTCACGCATAGGGGAGGCCGTTCGGTGTAAAGAAGGCTGCTTCCCCCTCCTGTGACTCCACCCGAGTCTGGGGATATTCTGGGAGAAAAACTGCTCCTCCAAGCTGCTCCCACAAGCAGCCTACACCCTGGCTGAGCAAAGGGAGAAGCAACACTTCCCACGGCTGGGGCTGTCCAAGAGAGCTTTCTGTGGCGACGGAGCTGTCCTCTTTCCACCTGTCCCTAGG